GGGGGGGAGGGGAGAGACACACCGACACGGCCGGGGGGAGGAGAGAGAGTGTGGGTGGCTAGCTATTTGGGTGAACGGGGGAGAAGCGCTTTTGCTTAGGGAGGAAGGAGGGGTGGCTATGTTGCATTTTTTTTTTTTTTTGAGGAAGGTAAAGTACCCCTCCAAACATTATATCACAAGAGTTCTAGGGATACATAAGCCCTCGGGCGGATCTAGTAGCCAGACAAACCGGCCAACATTATACCTCTGGCCTTAATCTCCTGTGTGATGTGATAATATACTGGTTTGGAGTCCTCATTCATAGTATTGATCACCCTAAGGCAATCAGAAGCCACCTTAACTCTTCGAGTAAGCAAGTCGTCCGCCAATGAGAGAGCCTCCCTTATCGCAAGAGCTTCAACGGTTTCTGCATCTGAAATTCCTTCGTCCAGCCGGCCGGTGAGGGGATCCATTGCTGGACATTGGTCTCCACTTGTCTTGCTTGTACCTTGTTATTCATCTTGCTCTGTACCATACCTAGATCTTCCATGAAACTCCTGATGAAGCAATGAGTAGATAATGGACATTGGAATAGATTTTCATGAATTACCTTCCGCCTTGCGTGCCAGATAGCCCATAGGGAGACAAACACCTCTGTCATTTCACTAGAGGGTAATTTTTCAATGAGCTCAAAAATCCAGTCCCTCGCATTCCCTTGCTGCGTCATGGAGACCTGTTCCGCAACCTCCACTGATGCCAAAGCCCAAACGCATTTAGCCATTGTACACTCGATCAACGAATGCTTCCACGAGTCATCTTCTCCACACACTGCACATTTATCTTCCACTGCCATATTTCTATGTTTAAGAACATCACTCGTCGGGAGAGAGTGCTTTGCTAGCCTCCATAGAAAAACTTTTATTTTGGATGGAACTTGGATTCGCCAAAGGGAAGTCCACTGTTTTTCTACCTTTTTGTATCAGACGAAGCAGTTGACCCCTCCAGCCAAGCTTCCCTTGTTGTCTTGGTATGCACAAGCATCTTCTATGCTGATCGAACTGTAAAAACCCCTTTGCGGTCATAGTGCCAAGCCCACTCGTCCTGCTGGTTCCTGGTCGACAAAGGGAGGTTCAGAATCGCCTCCACATCCATCGGCAGGAAAACACTCCTTAAGCTTCTCACAGTTCCATGTTGCTGACGTACGATCAATGAACTCACTCACCCTGGAAGGGGCATGCGCCGCCAGGCAAGCAATAGGTCGTAGTCTCCCATCTCGGGGCAGCCAGTTATCATTCCATGGATCGGTAGCTTCGCCCGTACCAATTCTCTTAATTATCCCTTGCTTCAGAGTATCTCTCCCATCAAGGATAGCTCGCCATACCTGCGACGGTCGCGAGCCCAAATCTGCTTGCAAGAACTCTGTTGCTGGGAAGTATCTCGCTTTGAGTATCCTCGCACTCAAACTATCTGGTGATTGTAGAACCCGCCATGCTTGACGAGCTAAAAGAGCTAGGTTGAACAATTCTATGTCCCTAAACCCTAGTCCTCCCATGTACCGTGGCTTTGTCATATCCGACCATGCCACCCAACAAGCTTTTCGTTCACCAGCTTTACATCCCCACCAGAACTTACGTAGGATGGAATTGATCTCCTGGCATAAGCCTCTTGGTAACCTGAAACATGACATCGAGTAAGTGGGTATCGCCTGCGCTACAGATTTGATGAGGACATCTTTAGCTGCTGCTGACAATGTCTTCTCAAACCAACCCTGCACCCGCTTCCATATTCTGTCTTTCAAGAACTGGAGTTTACCATTTTTATCTCGCCCCACATCAATTGGCATTCCTAGGTATTTCTCATTCAGTGTCTCCTGGTGGACATCAAGCCAATCTTTAATATCATGTCTCAATGCCTCCGAGCACCCCTTGCTGAAGAAAATGGACGATTTGTCCAGATTTACTCGCTGCCCTAACGCATTACAATATAATTCCAAAACATCCCGAATGTGATTCGCACTCTCCAGATTTGCCTTGAAAAACAGCAGGCAAACATCTGCAAACAGTAAGTGGCTTATCGCCGGTGCCGACTCTGCCACTTTTACACCTTGAAGAGCTGATGATTCACAACGATCTTTTATGAGGCTTGATAAGCCCTCTGCTGCTAACAAAAACAAATACGGAGATATTGGATCACCTTGTCTTAAACCTCGGGAGGGGGCAAACTTTTCAGACTTCACACCATTGAAGAGAATGGAAAAAGAGACTATTGAAACAAGCCTCATTACCATATTAACCCACTGTTGGTGAAAACCAAGCTTGGACATGATTGCACGTAGGTAGCTCCACTCAATTCTGTCATAAGCTTTCCTCATGTCCAGCTTGAGAGCACAGAAATTGTTCTTCTTTGCTTTGTTTCCCTTCATAAAATGTAGACATTCAAAAGCAGTAATAATGTTATCTGTAATAAGGCGCCCAGGAACAAATGCCGACTGCTCCTCTGCTACAATCTCCGGGAGGATTATCTTCAAACGATTCACCAAAACCTTTGAGGCAATTTTGTATAAAACATTGCACAATGCTATAGGTCTGAACTGGCTAAGATCTTCCGGGCTGGCAACTTTAGGAATCAGCACTAAAAAGGTTTGATTAATAGATGCCATATCTTCCTCACCTCGCAGTAACCGCAGCACTGCCATGGTAACTTCCTCCCCACACACTGCCCAATGGCGCTGGAAAAAGTGTGCCGGGTACCCGTCCGGACCAGGAGACTTGGTCAGGAACATCTGGAATAATGCCGTCCTAACCTCCTTTCCATCAAAAGGGGCGATCAACAGCTCGTTCATGTCATGTGTCACCCTGGTCTGTACCACATTTAGAACCTCCTCCAAGCCGTGAGTCGCCTCGGACCCATATAAGTCAGTATAAAAGGCTGTTGCTAGCGCACACATTTCTGCCTCATCCTCCGTGTACTCTCCATCTTCCCTCCTCAACCGAGTAATACGATTTTTCTTCCTTCTCTGACTAGCACGGAGATGAAAAAAATTTGTATTCTTGTCACCTTCAGACAACCATTGGATCCTCGACCTTTGGCGCCACATCACCTCCTCTCTCTGTTGTAATTCAATGAGCATGTTGCTGATCTTTATCTCCGCATGACTAGGGCCAACCCGGATCGGATCAGCTCTCAGTCTTCCCAGCTCAGTGGTAAGTTCGCTGATTCGCCTTTTAACACTACCAAAGGTGTCACGTTCCCAAGACTGCAACTTGGTCGAGATGGATTCCAGCTTGTGCTGTAGCTCACCACATGTGGTGGCCTTTCCCTTTTCCTGCCAAAGATTAGATAACAATGGCGAGAAAGAGTCATGAGACTCCCACATAACCTCGTACCTGAACAACTTGTTCTTTTTTCCAATTGGATGCCGCTCCACATGTCCAGAAAGCCTGAGTAGTATTGGGCAATGATCCGATCCAGCTGCTACAAGGTGGAACAAAGTAGCGTCAGGATATCTCGAACTCCAGTCCGGAGAAGCTAAGGCTCTATCCAGGCGAACTCTACAGAAACTGCCCCCGGCAACTCGCTTCTCAAAGGTCCAGGAATTTCCCTTGTAACCTAGATCAGCCAGGCCACACACATCCAACATATCTCGGAAGCCAGACATCTGGGCATAACTTCTCTCCAACACTCCAACGTGCTCGTGTCTGTGTAAGACTTCATTAAAATCCCCTATACACATCCACGGCAAGTCCGAAGATGCTCTTATAAACTTCAACATGTCCCACGTTTTGTGTCTTTCCGCCACGCGTGCCTCCCCATACACACACGTAAGTCTCCATGAGCCCCCTTCCAACCCAGTTACAATCGCATCCATGTGATACTGTGAATATGGTAATATTTCAACTTTAACATCATCATTCCAGTACATACCCAGGCCACCAGATCGACCTGTACTGCTAACTGCAAAACCATTCTTAAAACCAAGCAATGTTGCTAATTTTTCTACTCTAGTTCTGTGAAGCTGGGTTTCCACTACACAGAGCACAGTAGGAGCATGTGTTTGCACTAAAGTGCGCAATTCTCTAACTGTCGAGGACATGCCCAAACCTCGACAGTTCCAGCTTATTACACTCATTGATTCCCGCGGCCCTCCACTTGGGAGGCCGCTGTCATGGTTGTCTGGTTTTTTGCTTTCTTCTTATTCCCTCTTGGCGAAATATAAACTGGCGGTAGAGGAGGAACAGACTCTCCCTCTCCACTTGAGCTTGAAGCTTGTGCCGTGCTTCCATCACCCACCAATGCAAGAGCTAGGTTCCTTCTGACCAAAGGGTCATTAACGATAATTGATTCTGAAGAGTTCTTTACCGGTGTAACCAAACCTGCATCGCTTAGGCACCTCTTGCGCAAGATGATCTCCTTCTCGGTTTCAGCCGAATCCTTGACCTCCTCTCCCGCTGAACTGTTTTCCGTTCCCACATTATCTGGAGCTTTCTCTTGGCGGACAGCCTCCTGCTCCTTGGCCCTCTGCCCACGGCCGCCGTTTCTGCCAGGATTGCGCCCGCCACGGCCGCCGCGATTCCCCCGTCCTTCATTACGTCCTCTCTGAAACCATGGACCGGCCCCAGGGGTTCGCCGTCTCCAATCTTCAAACGGTGCGATCATCCAATCACCGTATTCCAAGGTTCTTTGATCATGCACCCCATCACCGCAGATCATACTGTCATGTCCAATCATTCCACAAGCCTCACAAAACCTAGGGAGCTTCTCAAATAATACACAGTAGGTTTGTCTCCTCTCCCCCTCGGGTGTTATAGAGACAAAGCGGGTGAGAGAGGAATTTATGT